GACTCCTAGTGGGAGCGGTCTATTGACCTTCTTGGTTTGAGCTGGTCAGCTAAGGGCCAACCTAGTTACCTAGGCTGGTTTACCTCCTTGTGGTCCTTTGCCGGCTAAGGTCACAAGGCGGTGTTTGTGCACACCCTCGGGTAGTGGCCTCCCTCATTACCCAAAAAGAGAAAAGAAACTAATATTGTGCCTTACCTTTGAAATAGTTTGCCAAGGACCTTGTGGTCTGGTGGCACCAAGTTGCTCTTCCATATGGGAGGTTGTGGGTTCGAGCCTCAGTGGAGGCGGTATTGACTATTTGAGCTTGAGTAGGTTGAGAAAGTAGTTATGAACAAATACTGCATTGTAACAGAGTCAGTAGTACTAAAAAAAAACCTTTGAAATAGTTTATGGGAAGTAATTCCCTCTTGTTGCCCCAAACAACCGGAGAGTTTCTTTACATTATAAATTACTTTAAAGAGTCGGTGTATTATCTTTCTCAGTACTTAATCACTGGTATTAGTGTGAGCTACTATTATGTTGTGTTGCCTGTCCTTGTGTTCCTTAAAGTGGGATGTTACAGATCCATTCTTTGATTTGTAGGGTCATACGAAACCAATTCACTCTGTGTGCTGGGACCCTTCAGGCGAGCATCTGGCTTCAGTGAGCGAGGACTCAGTGAGAGTGTGGACACTGGGTTCAGGAAACGAAGGGAATTGTGTACACGAACTTAGTTCAAACGGCAATAAATTTCACTCATGTGTTTTCCATCCTTCCTACTCTTCATTGCTAGTTATTGGCTGTTACCAGGCAAGTTATCAACCTATCTCCACTCCTTGAGATTACTGTGAAACCTTTAATTTGCGTCCATTTAAGAATGTGATTCTGTGCTAACTAACTAGCCAAACGGCATTTCTTGCAGTCTCTAGAGCTTTGGAACATGACCGAAAACAAAACGATGACGCTTCCTGCACATGAAGGATTGATTGCTTCGTTGGCTGTATCGACTGTGGCGGGCTTGGTTGCTTCAGCCAGTCATGACAAGATCATTAAGCTTTGGAAGTAACGACAACGCCATTACTTCGATTGGAGATGCTGCAACCTTGTTTTTCAACCCCCTTCTCCCTCCTCTTCCTGTTGTATGTTCAACTAAAATTCCTTTTGCAGAGGCTGATTAGGCAGACATAGGCTTTTTAGTTTTTGGTGTTTAATTGTGTAAGTTGATTTCTGTGGTAAGATTACTCCTGTCAATTCTGGTGCAGTGGATGTTTATTATCATGGAAAAACTCAAATATTTGTTACAGAAATTTTAAGTATTTCAGCTGTCATCTTTCATTTATACTTGCATTTTTCTTTTAGCTTTATGGCTTACCATTACAGATTGTGCAACCTTCAAATGGAAGTTCAACCTGGGCATTACTAGAGGATATTTCCACAGAAAAAGCTTTGTTCTTGGAGCTGTTAAAGGTGCAGGCAACTTCCAACCGAAGTGCCAAAATAAGGATTCTAAAGTAATTTTAGTCGAGTAGGTTACTTGTGGGAGTTATAACGTTCTAAGTTTGACATGTGGAAGTGGCACTGTTGGTTACTTAATTTGATAATTACAAGATTTTGAGTACTATTGATTCTGTTATATACTTTCTTTATCTATTACAGTCCAAAGAGTCAATACTCTATTACCGGGTTCGATCTTGTGACCTTCCCTTAAAGGGAGCCTTAGAGATACCTCCCTAATTACAAAATTTAACGTATCTTTCCATGTTAAACTTATTATTGACTTTCTTAGTTCCAATGGATCACTTTGACATTTCAACACATTAATGAATCATCACTTTAACCTGCCGGCAGGATGAATGCATTTTTGGAAAGTCCATGCATCATATAACTTGTATATATGTGACTCCCTTTCAAGAAAGTGAAAAGCTGATTTTGTGCAAATAACCACACTAAAATGTCTAACTTGATAAAAAATTAATTTGTTGAATATAAAAATCAAATAAAATGTCCTTTTTATTTGAGCGACGAGAAAAATTTCGTAATCAATATCTGATAATGTGTATTGGGTAAATTTCATCTTGTGACATTATAAAGAGGTGAATTAGTCTATGTTCTCCATAGTTGACTGACTCAAACCAAGAAAACTAATAAGGTGCTTCCTTGGGAATCGAACTTGTGACCATTTATGCTAGAAGTTATTTTTCTTTGTAAAAAAATTAATGTTTATAATATTAAAGGATGTAGAGGATTTGACATTTAAATTAAAGTAGAAATAATTGGGAAAATCACATATTGGTATCCATTGATAAACAAAAAGTATATTATTTGAAAGTATATATTATTTGGATACTAAAATATCAAATAATGTATATTCAGTACATAAATAATGTACTTTTAGTATATTAAAAATGTACCTTATATTAAAAAAATACATTATTTTGTATAATATACATTCAATACAAAAATAATGTACTGTTAATATATTATAAAAGTACATTTTTAGTGGTCTAAACAACATTGTGTGGACAATGGTCCACATAGTAATTTTCTGCCATGGTAGCTAGGGCTGAGCATAATCCGAAGAAATCGAAAAAACCGGCCGAACCGCGAACCGAAATAGACCAACCGAACCGAACCGATACCCGAGTTGCAAAACCGAACCGACGTCTAAAACGACGTCGGTTTACGGAGTTCGGATAGGGTGGGTTAAAAATTCACCCGACCCGTCCGAATACCCGATAAAAGATAGGGTTGCGTATGTAGATAGCAATACGACGTCGTTTAGGCTTAGTATATATATATGTTGTTACTCCTAACTCCACACTTGCGCAGTCAGTCTCTTGATTCCTTTCTCTTGCTAGGGTTTCCAGACGAGAGCTTCTCTTCTCTCATTCTCTGAGACTCTCAGTTCTCTGCGCAGTCGCACCTTGCGATTTTAGTCCTCACTCCTCAGTTCTCTCTAGTCTTTCTGTACTAGACAAAGACTACCTTCTTTGTAGTCTATACTCTCCTTGTCCGGTTGGTTCTGTTATAGTCCGGTTGGTCACTGGTGGAAGCCCTCATGCCCTGACTGGTGTAGTGGTGCTGTGGTGGTCGTGGACGTGGTGCTGTGGTGGACTACTGGTGTCGTCGAGACGTCGACTTCCAGTAAACTGAAGGCCTGAAGGCTGAAGCCCTCGTTCTCCGGGGTATTTGTGAGAAAAGAAGTAACTCGCTGACCCTATTCTTAAATTTATTGTGATGTATTATGTGGTCTCTGTGATATTGTAGTGGAAGCACTGACTTTGTGTCTTTGTTAGTTGTTACTGCAAACCCTAGTTTTGTAAAAGTTATTTCTTAGATATGTTGGCATATTGCTCTGAGTTTATTGCGAATTTGTGATCTATTTTGTGTCTCTGTGATAATGTGGTGGAAGCACTGACTATGGTTTCTATGATTCTCTGAATTGTGGACTGTGATTAAGTCAATCTGTTGAGAAGTTTCAGATTGTATATCACTTGTCCCTTGTCCCTTGTTTGTGATGTCATGATACTTGATTATGGTTTTTATGATTCTCTGAATTGTGGACTGTGATTAAGTCAATCTGTTGAGAAGTTCCAGATTGTATATCACTTATTCACTTGTCCCTTGTCCCTTGTTTGTGATGTTATGATACTTGATTATGGTTTCTATGATTCTTTGAATTGTGGACTGTGATTAAGTCAATCTGTTGAGAAGTTCCAGATTGTATATCACTTATTCACTTTTCCCTTGTCCCTTGTTTGTGATGTTATGATACTTGATTATGGTTTCTATAATTCTTTGAATTGTGGACTGTGATTAAGTCAATCTGTTGAGAAGTTCCAGATTGTATATCACTTATTCACTTGTCCCTTGTTCCTTGTTTGTGATGTTATGATACTTGATTATGGTTTCTATGATTCTTTGAATTGTGGACTGTGATTAAGTCAATCTGTTGAGAAGTTCCAGATTGTATATCACTTATTCACTTGTCCCTTGTCCCTTGTTTGTGATGTTATGATACTTGATTATGGTTTCTATGATTCTTTGAATTGTGGACTGTGATTAAGTCAATCTGTTGAGAAGTTCCAGATTGTATATCACTTGTCCCTTGTCCCTTGTGGTGGAAGCACTGACTGTTTTAACTAATAAGAGTCTGTTTAATTTGAGTGTTATAAACTTATAATGTCTCTTAAAGGCTTTAATTGGTGGAAGCCCCTTAGAAATTCAGTTAATGATGTTGATGAAATGAGCTGTTTTTATGTTATAACAGTCTCTGATTCATCTGGATATTTGAAATATATCCCTGAATCTGGATTTCTTTGTAAGTTTATGGATGTATTCCCTTAATTGTATTTGTATATTTGTAATTTTGTATTGAATAATGCCCTTTAATTAATTATGCATTCCTGTTTAATGATGACACAAAATGTGTCTGATTCTGGAATGCTTTTGAATCCTGTTGTGTGTATTAATAGTTCACCATTTTTAGATGGATAATATCAGTATGCCTGGTACTCTTGGTAGTCAACCTCCCAGCTCCTCAATTGATGGACCTTCAGGGGTGGAAGCCCAAACTGTTGAGAATCAACAGAATGAGCAACCTCCTACTGCTGTTCCAGCCAAGAAGAGGAAACAGGTTGCTTCCAGATCACCAGTGTGGGATCATTTTGAGGCAATAAAGGACACTAATAATGTGGTTGTAAAAGGCAAATGCATTTATTGTGCCAAAATTTACCACTGTGAGACAAAAAAACATGGGACTTCTTCCTTAAGAAATCACATGGTTAGCTGTTTGAAAAATCCTCACTCCAAGGAAACTAGGCAGTCCCTGTTAACATTTCAGGCTGTTACATCACTTACAGATGGTCAACCTACTGTGGGAGAAATAGGGACTTGGGTTTTTAATCAAGAGTCAATAAGGAGGGCCTTGGTTGAAATGATAATCATAGATGAATTGCCTTTTAGGTTTATGGAGGGAATAGGTTTCAGGAGGTTCATAGCTATTGCTTGCCCTAGGTTTATAGTTCCATCCAGGTGGACTATAAGTAGGGACATCCTAGTTGTCTATGATGAGGAGAGACTGAAATTGAAGCAATTTTTAAGGGGAAGCAGTCATAGGGTTAGTATCACTACAGATTCTTGGACATCCATCCAAAGAATTAACTACATGGTAGTTACTGCCCATTTCATTGATTCTGAGTGGAAGCTTCATAAGAAAATCCTTGCATTTGTCCCTGTTACTTCTCACAAAGGTGAATATCTAGCCAAAGCCCTAGAAAATTGTTTGCTTGAGTGGGGGCTTAGAGATGTGTTTTCTGTGACTGTTGATAATGCCTCATCAAATGACACTGCTATGGTTTTTCTGAAGAAAAAAATGCTGTCTTGGGGATCATCTACTGTGAGGACAAAGTATCTTCACATGAGATGTATTGCCCATATCTTAAACCTAGTAGTTCAAGATGGTCTTAAGGATTGTGATAGTTCAGTTAAGAAGGTTAGGGAGGTGGTTAGATATGTTAGAAACTCTCCTGCTAGACTCAAGAAGTTCAGGGATTTGGCTGATTGGTTGAGTATTGAACAAAGGTCTTCTTTGTGTTTAGATGTTCCAACCAGATGGAACTCTACCTATTTAATGTTGCAGTCTGCATTAACTTACCAAAAAGTGTTTGAATCTTTGGAGTCTGATTGCTCTTTTAAGTCTGATTTGGGTAATTCAATTCCTGATTTTATGGACTGGGAATCTGTTGGCAGTCTGGTTCATTTACTGAAGTGTTTTTATGACATGACCATTAGAATTTCTGGTTCTTTATATGTCACCTCAAACACTTTCTTTACTGAGATTTCTGATCTGTACTGCCTATTGAAAGGCATGGTGGAAGTTGGTGGGCCAGTTGGTGTGATGGGGAAAAATATGAAGGCAAAATTTGAGAAGTATTGGGGTGATGTGGAAAAAATGAATCTAATGATATTTTTTGCAAACATTCTAGACCCTAGAGACAAGTTAGAGTATATGCCTACTCAGTTTAATCATATGTATGGTGAGGAAAAGGGTCAAAAATTCTATGACAAAGTAGTTGCTGGTCTTGCTGAGTTATTTGATGATTATTCTACATCTGCCTCTTCTTCTGTCCCTTCTGTGCCTGTGTCTGTACAGCCTACATCTGCCTCTTCTGTTTCTGTTGGGAAGCCACAACATTTTCTGAAGTCCCAAATTAAAAAGCAAAGATTGGAGTCTGGGGTAAGAAACAAACTGAGTTGGATATGTACTTGAGTGAGGGAATAGTTGAAGAGGAAGAATCTTTTGACATACTTGGATGGTGGAAGATCAACTCTGCTAGGTTTCCAGTTCTGTCTAAGCTTGCTAGGGATGTCCTAGCCATTCCAATCTCCACTGTAGCCTCAGAATCTGCCTTCAGTACATCTGGAAGAGTATTGGATCCTTTTAGGAGTTCTTTAACTCCAAAAATTGTGGAAGCATTGGTGTGTACACAAGATTGGCTTAGAAAGCAAAATACTCCTTTATGTATTGAGGAGAATCTGGAAGAGTTGGAGAGGTTTGAAAAAGGTATGACTTTGTAGTTTGAACATTATAATCCTTTATACTTATATTTTAAATTGCTTAAATTGTTAATACTTTTCTTGTTTATTTTGCAGAGTTAAGTGGTGATGGTGGAAGTGGGAGGTCTCTTGGTTCTACACTTGCTACAATTCCTGTAATGTTATTATTTACATTACTTGATTTTATTGATTCTAACTAAATTGCAATCTAATCTCACTTGCTATTTTTTGAGCCCACTGGACATCTGTAAGTCTCAGACTCTGTAACTCTGTAAGTATGAAGGCTTGGTAACTTGTACTAAGTTGCTGCCTCATGTACCTTGGGCATTTGGTAATGTATGGACTCTTTTATTCTGTCTGTTCACTTTAAGTTGGCAAGTTTGGCAATGATGAAGCTTCCACCTTCAATCTGAAAAGGAAAGGATTAAGTTGGTCAGTTGCTCTATACTTAAGGTATATTGAAGCAATAGGCCCTTAATCCAAATGATATGTAAAATATGCTTACTGAGCCAATATTTATATAATCCCTTCTCTGTTTTTCATTTTCTAATGCTTGCTCAGTTGCTTTACTTGTTTACTTGCTTGTGTACTAATTATCTACACTAACTTGCCACAATTCACAGGAAGAAGAATAACTACTCTAATTGTCTGAATTCTAAAAGTCTAGGAGTTGCTGAATGCTGAGTTGCTGATTTTGGGTGAATTTGTTTTTGTGGGGCTTCAGTTTAAAGTTTAAACAGTTATGTAAATTTGTATGTAGTAAATAGTATACAAGCTAGTATGTATGTACTTTTGTAGTTTTTTTGGAGTCTTAGTCTCTTAGACTCTTAGCCACTTAAGAGTTAAGACTCTTAATGTTAGTTAATAGACTACTTAGTAATACTAATTACTAACTTAGTAACTTAGTATTACTGGTATTAGTCTATTACACTATCATTCTATTAATTATTTACTTATTTATTCAGTATTATTCAGTATTTCAAACTTTCAGTTATTTATTATTTTGCTTTTGATTTTAATTTATGAATTTTTTATTTGATTTCAACAATTGTTAATATCCGAAATAATTTCGGATATCCGACCGACCCGACCAAACCCGAACTAGGATATAACCGACCGGATAAGTCAACATTTTTAAACGGATAGGGTAGTCAAAATACAAAACCGAAATCCGATCGGATGCACCTCTCTCTCACCCGATCCGTCCGAACCGTCCGAATGCACACTCCTAATGGTAGCATACCTTGCTGGTAGAGCTATTAAAGGAGGTTCAACCTGTTGGATTAGGCATGTTTAACCCAATTTTTAGGTGGGTTAGGTCAATTGTTATGCCGTGGAACCGTGTCCACCTTGCAGTATGTTTATAATTACTGAATTCTATGTTCATAATTATAAAACTCTATGTTCATAATTTTTGAACTTCATATCCACAATTATTGAACTATATGTTCATAATTACTAAACTCTATGTTCATAATTTTTGTACTTCATATTCACAATTATTGAACTCTATATTCACAATTACATAACTCTATGTTTCATAATTATAGAATTCTATGTTCATAATTCTTGAATTTATATTCACAATTATGACTATTTTGGAACCGTGTCTACGTTGCAATGTGGACACGGCTCCACAACATAATTTGCCGAGTTAGGTTGGAGAAATTTTTAATGGGCAAATTCTATTGTGGACCATGGATCAAGTTGAAAAACGACGTCGTTTGAAGTGTTTTCATTAAAAATATAATGGTAGATGACAAATTCTGTTATGGTCCATTTAGCAACCTCTCTCATCATTTAGTTTAATTTTATACGTACATACAATAATTTCATTATAGCAACACTAAAATACTATTTTAATTCAATTACAATTATATTTGATAATATACATTCAATGTATGACAATTATATTGGTTCATTATAGCAATACTCAATATCATTCAATTTTTTGGTGAAACCACATACACAGTTGTTCAGGTATTACAACCACATGACAAAATATTGTCTCTATTTTTTGAATAAATATTAGCAAGGAATGAAACATTGCGTATAGAATAACAATATTATCACCTTAATGAAGCTTTAGGTTTGCAACAATGCCATTGTAAAGAGAATAAAATTGCCATAAAATAATAATATTATCACTTTAATGAAAATTTGGACTTGCAGCAATGGCGTCGAAAAGAGAAGAAAACAACTGCTATGAAGATTAGAGACGTAACAATGGCGTGCTGGAGAGGTAACGAAGTCAAACGTTTGCTTTTAATATATATATATATATATATATATATATATATATATATATATATAGAGAGAGAGAGAGAGAGAGAGAGGGAGGGAGAGGGAGGGGTTAAGTTCACATGAGGACAATAATATATAGAGGATTGTGAGGATAAATAATGAGCACACAATAAATTAGTATCATGCATACAATAATGGCACACTAGGCATACATTTAAACATCAAAATTTGAACCTAGACTATTAATTAAAACACCAAATTGTGTTGTGGCGCGCGGCGCTCCCGGAGTGTCCCATTTATTCTTCGCCAATGACAACCTCCTCTTCTTCAAAGCAACATCTTCTGAGGCTATGATTGTAAAAGGATGCCTTTCGACTTATGAGGCAATGTCCGGCCAAGCGGTGAATTTTGGTAAGTCTTGTGCCCTTTTTAGTCCCAATACGCCCACTGATCATAGGACTGCTGTTACTACTGCCTTTAATGTCATGGTTGTGGATAATCTTGGCAAGTATTTAGGCTTGCCATTAGGGATTGGCCGAAACAGGAAGGAGGTGTTTGCTTATCTGGAGACAAAACTACGAAATCGCCTAGCTGGATGGCATAAGAAGGCTTTGTCTCGGGCCGGAAAAGAAGTTCTGATCAAGAGTATCGTCCAAGCCTTACCGACATACACTATGAGTATCTATTATTTGCCACTCACTTTCTGCGAACATATTGAGCGTATTATGAACCAGTATTGGTGGGGAACAAGGGGAAATGAAGGTGGCGGAATTCGTTGGATGGCATGGCGACGAATGTGTTCTTCCAAAACCGATGGAGGGTTGGGCTTTAAACAGCTGAATAAGTTCAATCTAGCGTTGCTGGCTAAATAAGGGTGGCGCTTAATAACGTCTCCAGAATCTTTAGCAGCCCGGATCTTTAAAGCTCGCTATTACCCTCGATCGGAATTCTTGGACGCTGAAATTGGAGCCAATCCTAGCTACGTTTGGCGCTCAATTTTAGCTGGCAAGGATATTCTTTCGACTGGCTGTATTAAATGTATTGGAAATGGTGAAAATACCTTGGTGTGGAAGCATCCTTGGTTGCCTGATGAAGACCCTTATGTACGCTCCCCATGCCTTAATCAGAACCATGGTATGACAGTAAGTGAGCTTATTGATCCTATATCTAAGGACTGGGATATGGTGAAGCTGGCAGCATGCTTGGATGACCGGGATTTTGGTTTAATCCGTAAAATCCCAGTGGCTCATAGCTTCAGAGATACTTGGAGTTGGCGTAATGACATTAAAGGCCAGTATCAAGTGAAACA